TGCTTGACGTCGAAAAGCCACCCCTTGAGCTCATCCAGACAGCTCGTGAGCTGGGCGTGAAGATCGTTGCCTACTCTCCGCTCGGTCGTGGCCTCTTGACAGGCCAAATCCGCTCTCGAGATGACCTTGAGCCGACTGATTTCCGCTTGACGGTGCCCAAGTTCAGTGCAGAGAATTTCCCAAAAATTCTGTTGCTTGTAGACAGGATTGGGGACGTGGCGCAGAGACATGATGCGACACCAGGACAAGCTGCGCTTGCATGGATTCTGGCGCAGGGCGATGATGTCTTTGTCATTCCAGGGACGAAGAAGATCAAGGTTAGTTCAACCTTCACCAATGATTAGAGTTGTGGCTCATCATTCGGCTTGATTAGTACCTGAAAGAAAACCTAGGTGCTGGGTCGCTCAAGCTGACACCACCGGAGATTGCGGAGATACGACAAATTGCTGAAGAAACGGAGATTCCGGGAGACCGCTACGGACCAGGATTCTTGGAGTTGACATACGTCGAGAGTCCGGCATTGAAATGAACATGTGCGGCTCAATAGGCAAGGGGCCTTTATCCTGCTTCAACGATGCATCCACTTCTTCCTGAACAGCAACGTGCTCTGGTTTGCTTGTTGAGACTTTTGATGTGGATGGGAGGGTAGTTCGCTCTATTGGTTAACGGTAATCACCGACATATTGAATCCTGCAAATTAGTTTAGTTCCGAGTCATTTTTATAAACAGTATAGATTATGTACCACTGTCTTTAAAATATAGAACGATGGCCCCCCTCTCAACTTCCCTTTCGCACGCATACGAAGCATCTAATCGGCGTTGCTATAGCTCGTGATCATATCATAGTGAAGATTTCAAAATGGATCAAGTCGAAGAAAACAGTACCAGTGTGTGCCACCAACAAGTATTAACAGATATATGAGCTAGAGGAGTGATAGTAAGTGAGAAAACTCAAAGATTAGTGAAGTTCGAGCGGTGTCAAACAACAGAATTCGTAGATTTCGAGAGCAGTCTTTTTTATTACGGAAAAAATGTCTAGTCCTAACTGAGTCTAAGGTAGAGTCTAAGCTACTGCTTGTTAGTTCCAGCGAGTCAGAAGTTTGTCTTTAGGTAGTAAGATGTCTGGAACTCCTGAACCGTGAGTACGTGCTATGTGCCGCACCAAGCCTTATCTGCACTACCAATTCTTTGCCTCTCTCGTTTTACGTTTGGTGTCTTTTTAACCTGAAAGAATTCCTGACATTGCTATGGCTAACAGTGATGTCGACAGTTGCTGCGGTCTCCCTGACTGTGGTGTCCGCAGGAGCGAGGACTCTTGCCGCAACAGTGACTCTCGTGCAGCGGCTCCGACCCCGAGTATAGAAGCCGCCGATCAGCCATGCTCCTGTTGTTCCGGTGGCGACAGTCTTGAAATTGATGATACGCCGGCAGTCCAAAGCAGAGTCGATTGCGCTGCAAACGCGGCCGAGTCGAAGCAGCAAGTTTTCATTCGTAAGGTTCGATAGATGTGAAGTGTGCTACTAATATTAG